CTTCATTTCATCAGTATTAAAAAATACTAATTATGTGGCATGTTGGTATGTCATGCTGGTATTATAGTTATGTGGTATCCATGGCATGTAGGTATGTCATGTTGGTACCATGGCATGTAGGTATGTCATGTTGGTACCATGGCATGTAGGTATGTCATGTTGGTACCATGGCATGTAGGTATGTCGTAACATGGCATGTGGTATGTCATGTTGGTATGTAGTATCCATGGCATGTAGGTATGTCATGTTGGTACCATGTGGTATCCATGGCATGTAGGTATGTCATGTTGGTACCATGGCATGTAAGGTATGTCATGTTGGTCCATGGCATGTAGGTATGTCATGTTGGTACCATGGCATGTGGGTATGTCATGTTGGTACCATGTTGGTACCATGGCATGTAGGTATGTCATGTTGGTACCATGTAGTATCCATGGCATGTAGGTATGTCATGCTGGTATCAGTTATGTGGTATCCATGGCATGTAGGTATGTCATGTTGGTATCAGTTATGTGGTATCCATGGCCTGGTACCATGTAGTATCCATGGCATGTAGGTATGTCATGCTGGTACCATGTAGTATCCATGGCATGTAGGTATGTCATGCTGGTATCAGTTATGTGGTATCCATGGCATGTAGGTATGTCATGTTGGTACCATGTAGTATCCATGGCATGTAGGTATGTCATGCTGGTATTATAGTTATGTGGTATCCAATCATGTTGAAACGGTATTCTATTTTATGTGTATTTAGGGATGTAGCATACAAAGTGAATACACTATGTAGGTATGTGGTTCCATGGTATATCAACATACCAGTATGCAGGTATATGGCATACACACACATGTATTACATAATTCAAAATATGTTGCCATGTGGTCTTTACACACGTGGCAAGTATGATGGTATGCATGCGATATGTTGGCTCATAGCCACCAGCTTCTGTACACAGAAGGTAGGGAGTTTAAGGTATGTTGCTATGTAGGTTTGGGTATGTTGCTGTGTAGGTAGTTTTGGATATGTTGCCATGTAGGTACTTTTGGATATGTTGCTATGTGGGTATTTTGGATATGTTGCCATGCAGGTACTTTTTGGGCATGTTGCTGTGTAGGTAGCTTTGGATATGTTGCCATGTAGGTAATTTTGGGTATGTTGCCATGTAGGTAATTTTGGGTATGTTGCCATGTAGGTAATCTAAGGTATGTTATGTAGGTAGTTTTGGGCATGTTGCCATGTAGGTAGTTGAAGGTATGCTATGTAGGTAGTATTGGGTATGCTATGTAGGTAATTTAGGGTATGTTGCTATGTAGGTAATAAGGCATATCATCATAAAAACACTAGGTTTGTAGTTATGTGGCACATATGTTGAGGATAAAATCAATATGCATACATGACTGTAGCCAACGCTTTCTTATTTTTAGTATGTACATGTAACTTCATGTTTAAGGCACCTGGTTTTATCTTTAATAAAGGGGAAGAGAGGGAGAGGGAGAGGGAGAGGGAGAGGAGAGGGGGAGAGGGAGAGGGAGGGGAGAGGGAAGGGAGAGGGAGAGGAGAGGGAGGGAGGAGAGGAGAGGGGAGAAGGAAGGGAGAGGGAGGGAGAGGGGAGATGGGAGAGGGAGGGAGAGGGAGAGGGAGAGGGAGAGGAGAGGAGAAGGGAGAGAGGGAGAGGAGAGGGAAAGGGAGAGGGAAGGGAGAAGGAGAGGGGAGGGAGAGGGAGATGAAGATGGGGGAAGGGAAAAGAAGAAAAAGGAGGGGGGAAGGAGAGGAAAAGGGAGAAAGACGAGGGGAGGAGAGAGATGGGAAGGGAAGGGGGGGGAGAGGGAGAGGAAGAAGGAAGAGAGGAGAGGAGAGGGAGAAGAAGATAAAGGGGGAAAGATAGGGAGAAGGAGAGAGATACAATGTGATGGGCGAGGGAAAAGGAGAGGGAAAGAGATAAAATAGAGAAGAGGAGACAAAGGGAAAAAGAGAGAGAGGGGAAAGAACACACAAAAAAGTAATCATATATCCATCAAATTGTGACTCCATATATATCAAATGGAGATATAATAATAATAATAATAATAATAATATTAGCATCTCAGAGTAAGCGATACAGTTCAGTACGCAAATTCATGAAAAAAAAAGTCTTTTGGCAAGGAAACCCCAGAGAAAGATGGTTTGTTTGAACTGAAATTCTTGGGATTAATAACCAAAAGGAAAAAAGTGTTTCTTGGGCTGGAAGAGGGGAAAGGAGGGAGAAATGGGGAGAAATGGGGAAGAGGGAGGAGAGAGAGGGAAAAGGGGAAGCGGGGAAAGGAGGGAGAAATGGGGAAGAGGGAGGAGAAAGAGGGAAAAGGGGAAGTGGGGAAAAGAGGGAGAAATGGGGAGAGGAGAGAAGAGGGGAAGGAGGAGAAAGGGGGAAAGAGGGGAAGGAGGGAGAAAGGGGGAGAGGGTAAGAGGGAGGAGAAAGGGGGAAAGAAGAGGGGAAGGAGGGAGAAATGGGGAGAGGAGAGGGGAAGAGGGAAGAGGGGAAAGGAGGGAGAAAGGGGGAAAGTAGAAGAGGGGAAGAGGGAGAAAGGCTGAAAGGAGAGGGAAAGGAGAGGGGAAGGAGAAAGAAGGATAAGAAGAGGCGAATGGAGGACAGGATGTGGGGAAGAGGGAGATAGGCAGAAGGGAGAGAAGCGGAGGAGAAGAATGGGGCAAGGGGAAGAGGAGGGAGAATGGGGTAAAGGAAGAGGAGGGAAAATGTGGAGGGAAAAAGGAATTAAAGAATAGGTATAACAGATAATGCAAATTCAAAGAATATATTCCTTTTAAAGAGACTAAATTGTCTCTCCTTTAAGAAAAAGCAAAAAAGACAAAAAAAAAATCATAGAAGTTAAATTCTTTTATTACTATTAACAATTTAAAATTCATATTTAGTTCCTAATTAAACATCTTACAATAGGGTTGGCTGCCAAAAAAAAAGAAAAAAAAAAAAAAAACAATATATAAATCTATATATCAAACCCAATAAGTTATTTTAGAGTTTTTACATGAAGAAAATCATTTTTTTTGGAGAAAGGGAAAACATTAATTATACAATAAGGTCGAAAATACAGATGAAGGTAATATTAGACTGTTAAATACAATAATTAGAACAAAAAAAAAACACAAAACGAGTATTGATGTGAGCACAGGCATATTAATTAATCAATTAATTATTAAACCTATTGACGTAATTATCGATACATCCTCATCGACATCAGATCATATAATACAAGAGAATTTGATCATGGAAACTCTATTCTATATCAGCTTCCGTGGTATCTGCCTAGTCTCGGTTATCTTCTTATTTCTGGTTCTTGCGTTCATCCGGGTTTTGATCTTATCTCCATTACGACAAGATTCACCATCTTTCCAAGTTTATATTTTCCTTGTCTCTATTACTACATTCACATCCTCGAGACTGACATCAACGCAAAGACGAGTATTATCTCAATGGCTGGAAAAACGCCGCAATGGTTGGAAATTCCAACCCATGGCAACGCTTAGTTTTATGCTGCTGGCTTTGTAAGGCAACGGGTGGCCGGAATATTTTGTGGTCTTCCTGTTGGCAGGAATTAAAAGGCAATAAATGGTGGCAGTGGCGGGATCATCCGACACTTGTGGCAGTGGTGGTATTACCCAACACGTGCTCTCCGTTCCTTTCCATTCCTTCGTTTTTCACTTCTTGTTTACGCATTCTTCTCTTCCTTACAATACCGTAATTCTTTCTCTTCTTCATTTTTATCTTTTATTTCTTGTTTATTCATTCTCCTCTTCCGTACAATATTTCTTTCGCTTCTGTCGATTTATCCACTTATTATTCTATCGCTTATCTTCACTTCTTTTATCTCTTCCATCTTCTCTCTTTTATCTCATCTATCTAATCTTCTCATACATCATCTCTTCTCTATTATCTGATCTCCTATTTTCTCTTCTCTTCTCTCATCTCCCATCTTCTATCACCTCTCCTCTTCGTCTCTCTCCTACCTTCTCCCTTCTCTCTTTTTCTTTCAGTTTTGGGCAATTTTAGGGAGAAAAGGAGGAGAAAGAATGAGAGGTAAAAGCAGCAAGGGCGATAAAAGGGAAAAACAGATAACAAAACATTTCTTCCAGGCGTACTTATACACATATACGTACATGGGTAAATTCTTGTGTACGCATTGAGGAGTCTGGGACGAGGAGGAAGAAAGGGAGAGAGAGAGAGAGAAAAAAAAATGTTTATTATTCCATATCTATCTTTCTTCCTCCTTTCCTTTTCTTTTTTTCTGCTTCCTCCTAATCCATTCATTTATTACAGATCTTTTTTTCTTTTGTCTTAATATCTACATCTTTCTTCTTTTATTGTCTTCTCGTTTCATTCTTCTTCCTCCACTTTCCTCTTCATTCATGTTCCATTTTCCTCTCCATTCTTCACACTTCTCCTCCTCCTCCTCCTCCTCTCTTCCTTTTTTCTTCTTTTCACCTCCTCCCTCTTCTTTTACTTCTCCTCCTCCTCCTCATCCTCTCTTCTCTTTCTTCTTTTTCTCCTCCTCCTCTCTCTTTCTTTTCTTCTTTCTCCTCCTCTATTCCTTTCTTATCCTCTTCTTCTCTCCTCCTCCTCCTCCTATCCTTTCTTATCCTCTCCTCCTCCTCCTCCTATCCTCTTCTTCTTCCTCCTTCCTTCCTTCCTCCTCCTCCCCTCCTCTTCTCATCCCCCTTCGAACACTTCCATCGTCTTGCTTAGATAGGTCGGGTGAAATTCGCAGGGAACAGACCTTTCTCCAGGGTTGTCTCCTTCATGCCGCATAGCCACCCTTCCTCCTGCGAATAAAGAGGAGAGAGAGAGATTAAGAGGTGTTAAGAGAGGGAGAGGAGAAGAAGGGGAAAGGGAGGAGGGGGAGCAGAGAAGAGAGAAGAGAGAGAGAGAGAGAGAGAGAGAGAGAGAGAGAGAGAGAGAGAGAGAGAGAGAGAGATGAGAGAGTAGAGAGAGGGGAGAGGGAGAGGGAGATGGGAGAGGGAGAAGGGAGAAGGGAGAAGGGAGAAGGAGGGGGAAGGGGGAAGGGAGAGGGAGGGAGGGAGGAAGGGAGAAGGGGGAAGGGAGAGGGAGAGGGGGAGGGGGAAGGGAAGGGAGAGGGAGAGGAGAGGGAAGAGGAGAAAGGGGGAACGGAGGAGGGGGAGAAGAGAGAGAGAGGAGAGGAGAAAAGGGGAAGTGAGGAGGGAGAGAGAGAGAAAAGAGAGAAAAGGGAAGGGGAGGTAGGGGAGAGAGAGAGAGAAAGAGAGAAAAGGGGGAAGGGAGGAGGGGGAGGAGAGAGAGAGAAAGAAAAAGGGGAAGGGAGGATGGAAAGAGAGAGAGGAAGGGGAAGGGGAGAGGAGAGAGAGAGATTAAGAGGGTTTAAGAGAGGAGAGAGAGGAGAAGGGGAAGGGGAGAACGGGAGGAGGGAGAGAGAGAGAGAGAGCAGAAAGGGGGAAGGGAGGAGGAGAGAAGGAGGGAGAGAAGTTTGTGAGGGGGAAGGGGAGGAGGGAGAAGAGAGAGAGAAGGGAAGGCGGAGATGGGGGAGAGAGAGAGAGAAAAAAGCGGGGAAAGGAATGGAGGAGAGAGAGAAGAGAGAGAAAAGCGGGAAGGAAGGAGGGGAGAGAGAGAGAGAGAGAAAAGGGGAAGGTAAGAGGGGAGAGGGGAGAGAGAGAGAAAAGGGGGAAGGGAGGAGGGGAGAGGGGAGGGAGGAGAGAAAAGCAGGGGAGGGGGAGGGGATGAGAGAGGAAAGGGGGAGGAGAAGGAGGGGAGAGAGAGAGAGAGAAAAGGGGGAAGGGAGGAGGGGGGAGAGAGAGAACAAAAAAGGGGGAAGGGAGGGAGGGGAGAGAGGGAGAAGAGAGAGGGGAAGGGAGGAGGGGGAGATGTTAGAGAGGAAGAGGACAGAGAAAGAGTGAGAAAAGTGGAAGGGAGAGAAGGGAGAAGGAGAAAAGGTGAGGGGGAAAGGAGAGAAAGGGCGAGGATAAAAAAAAAATAATGAGGGATAGAAAGCCAAGGCAGATAGAAAAAGAAAAGTGGATGGAGATAAAGGGACAGTAAATGAGATAAAACGTAGTATGAGGGAGAAGGAGAATGAAAATGGTGAAATGCCTCACAATGGCCAAATATGGGACCCCAACTGCCTGCGAGAAACCTAGAATAAGACAGCAAACCCAGAACCCAAAACAGACACAGACAGACACAAACAGACACATAAACCCCAACAGTAAACGCAGACCTCACATAGACCCCCAAAAATAGAACTTCAGACCCCAAGACACAAAGAGAGACCAGACCGTATATATATATATATATATATATAATATATATATATATATATATATATATATATATATAATATATAAAATATACATGTATAAAGACCCTCCCAACACAAGGAGTGACCCAAAATAGACCTGAATCTCCAAGACACAAAAGCAGACCCTAAATAAACCCTCAGACCCCAAAAACACACAAAAAGGACACCTTAATCCCCAAAACACAATGGAAAGACAAATGCCCCAAAAAACACAAAAGGGAAAGACTAAATGCCCCAAACAAACTAAATCCCCCAAAACACAAAAGGAAAGTCTAGATGCCCCAAAACACAAAAGGAAAGACCTCAACACCCCAGAAGACTTCAAAAAAGAGACGGAAATACCCCAAAAATGCCCCAAAATACCCACCTGCTCTTCAGGATAGTCATACTCCACCAGCTGGCCGAAGTCTCCCACTTCGATGCTGATCTCATCCACATTTCCACGAGTGACCCCCCAAAAGGACCCCAATTACCCCTAAAATACCCCCAAAAAGGACCCCAATTACCCCTAAAATACCCAAAAAGGACCCCAATTACCCCAAAAAGACTGCAAAAAGATCAAAATACCCAAAAATACCCCAAAAGACTCCAAGAAGACCACAAAATACCCCAAAAGACTCCAAAAAAAAAAAGATACAAATATCCCCAAATCATCCTAACACACTTCAATAAAGACCCCAATACCCCAAAAATACCTCCCCCCCCCCCAGAATACCCACCTGCTCTTCAGGATCGTCGTACTCCACCACCTGGATGACGTCACCCACTTCGAAGCTGATCTCATCCATGTCTTCACGAGTGACCCCCAAAAGGACCCCAATTACCCCCCAAAAACCCCAATTACCCCTAAAATACCCCAAAAGGACCCCAATTACCCCTAAAATACCCCAAAAGACTGCAAAGAAGATTAAAATACCCCAAAAGACTGAAAGAAGACAAAATACCCAAAAATACCCAAAAGACTCCAAAAAAAAAGATACAAATATCCCCAAAATCATCCTAAAAACATTCAATAAAGACCCAATACCCCCCAAAATAGCCCCCCCCCCCCAGAATACCCACCTGCTCTTCAGGGTCGTCGTACTCCACCACCTGGATGACGTCACCCACTTCGAAGCTGATCTCGTCCACGTCTTCGCGCGTGACCCCCCAAAAGGACCCCAATTACCCCTAAAATACCCCAAA